GCAATCCACCCAACAAGCATTGCAGAAGATGAACGCCACAAACAGGTTGTTGACCTTGGGGTGTTTCATCCACGTTCAAGTATTGTTGCTAGTATTTACCAAAAATAAAGTATTTCTGCTAGCAATCCCTCATATATAGATACAGGCAATTTGTAACCGTAAGTATTAAATCTCCACTAAAGGCTGGTAACGTAAGCCTCTCCTCACTACAAGAAAATGGATTTTTTGTAATTGAAAATGGTGACTGATTATCAATTAGTCACTAGTATTTTTTATATTTGTGATTAATTTAAGATAATAATTACTAATATTAATTTTTAATATTATAATATATAATTTGGACACATAAATAATATTTAATCACTAAAAATTTGTCACAATAAACTACTTAAATTTGTGACGGATAAAATTATCACAAATAAATTAACTATTAGTTTCTTGAAAACTATAAGTTTCTTGAAAACTATAAGTTACAAAAGAGAAATTTATGTCACAAATGCTCTTTTTTTTCTTGTGACTAAAGTTATGATTTGTAACAAATATATTTTGTGACTATATGTGATTTGTTACTAAAAAAATTCACAAGATGTAACAAAATTTTTTGTCACAATTAATCCACAATTTAATTTAAAAATATAAATAAATTAGTTACAACAATATTAGTCACTATAAATTAGGTAAATATTTGTGACTAATAAAAATCTGCCACAGATAAAGAAATTTCATCATTTATAAATTTGGTAACGAAAATACTTAAATATCACCAAAATAAATGGTGTCAACACTAAGAGCATGTCCAGCGTCAATAATCTGTCTTTGAATCCAAGTCCTACTTCTTTTCTCATATAGTTTCTTAAATTCATTTAGAAATCAGATTTAGCTAGATGATGGGCAATTGAATTTGCTTGACGCCTCACAGATGAAAATGAAAAAACATAACCTATGGATGCTAACTGCAGTATATGGTCACAATTATTAGATAGAACCTCCATTCAAGCAAAATAAGGTCAAAATATATTTCGATTCTCCATAAAAAATATTTAGGTGCTAAACTTTGATTATTTTTTAGTTTACACTTCTATCCATGACATTAAATCAAAATTTTTAAATTAATAAACACTGACTTGGCCTAATTTTTATTGGTAACACTAAAATTTGATTTAAAATTACTGATGTCTCATCATTTCCTTAGTCAAAAGATCAAATCCATGCTTTATTAGGCAATTCAGAGAATGCATATGCTGATTTCTGAACCTTCAAAAATGTAAATGAAAGTCATTTCTTTGACAAGCAAGAGTCCAATAGTCAATAGTATAATAACTAAATACGATTGAATAATAGTTCAAATGTTTCACTTAGAAGACAAACAAAATCAAAATAATTGAATCTTCTGTAGTAAACACTGAGACCA